CCATCTTCTCTTCCATGGGCATTATCATTTACCGTCTCTCCATCTATTTGTACAGTAACACATACGTACGAATACTCAATACAAATATGGACCCTAGGTAGGGGTTTCTGTTTTCGGTGGGTGTGGAGAAATGTGTCGATACCGCGGATACGTTTTCATACCGACTCTGGCAACGGTCATATGTAACATAAGTTACGACGTTATACGTTATAGCAAGTGTGTGTCAATTTTGTTAGAACACAAACAAGAATACGAACGTACTTTGAATGTAGCAAAAAAAAATCCCGGACAGAGAAACACATATATCGAAAAATATGTTGAATTGTCTCAGGTATTCGAACATTACTTATAAATAAAACCTGGTTTGGTATTTTTAGCTACCCTAATGAGTGTTTGTTTCCTGTAACTCAAAGTTTGGTTAACTGATAATTAAAATTCGAGTTACTAAATTTGAACGTAACAGGCTACATAGATTTTTTTTGTTTGGTTTAACGTTGTACATTTCCGGTGACTCGAAGTTTGGTTAACTGATAATTAAAATTCGAGTTACTAAATTTGAACGTAACAGGCTACATAGATTTTTTTTGTTTGGTTTAACGTTGTACATTTCCGGTGACTCGAAGTTTGGTTAACTGATAATTAAAATTCGAGTTACTAAATTTGAACGTAACAGGCTACATAGATTTTTTTTGTTTGGTTTAACGTTGTACATTTCCGGTGACTCGAAGTTTGGTTAACTGATAATTAAAATTTGAGTTACTAAATATGAACTTGGTCTCTAAAATACGGGCGTGTTTATTTTTGTAACTCGGTGTTTTCGTAACTCGAATAATTCAGCATCCCAGGCAGAGCACCAAAATGCGATTTTCACCGAAAATAAAACGTTTCCTGTAAAGGATTGATCAGCCGCCACAAATAGTTTGTTGCATCATTTTGACTATGTTGTCATATAATATACAAGGAGATTATATCGTTTACATGGCAACATATTACTCATAGTTTGAAATTCGTAAAATCTCAGCGATCATATTGGAAAATAAGATGTTTATAATAACTAAAAATGTGTTCTAATTCCCAGTAATCAATGTGCTAGGGGGTAAAATTAAAGTCCCATTTCAAAGATTTGTATAACACTTTCACCCGAGTATAGTAGCTCTCTGGGGCCATCTTTCCTGGTTTGTGGGTTTGCGCCCACTTGAGTTGTGTGTGAATGCAGTTTATCCCACCGCTTGGTGGCGCAGCGGCTCGGCCTTTTATATTTTTTTTTCTCATTTTGCGAACCAAAACGAGGCTGCAACCAATCCAGATGTCGTCTGTA